AGGAAATGGCCTCAAGCTGCACCAGGGGAGGTTTAGATTGGTTATTAAGAAAAATTTCTTCACAGAAAGAGCGGTCAGGCATTGGAACAGGCTGCCTAGAGAGGTGGTGGAGTCACCATCCCTGGAGGTGTTAACGTGTAGTTGTGGCACTTTGGGACACGGTTAGTAGGCATGGTGGTGCTGGGTTGATGGTTGGACTGATGATCTTAGAGGTCCTTTCCAACCTTAATGATTCCTAGTTTTACTTTCTTTAAAAAATAATCCAGCCACCAAGCCAGGAAACATTAAATTAATTATTACTCTACCCTTAATTTGTTTAGTGGTGGACTTGGTAGTGTAAGGTTAATAGTTGGACTGGATGATCTTAAAGGTCTTTTCCAGCCTAAACAATTCTATGATTCTATAATTCTATGATTCTATGACTAAGTATAACTATTCGTAAGGATGTTCTAATCATACCTAGGGAAAAGAAACCATTTACAGAGAAAAATTACTGGACAACTAGCCACCAATTATTGGTGGCATTTTGCAGATAGTAACCTGAAGAGAAATGCAGACAAAAGCCTTTATACCTGTTACACACCAAAGTCTTAATTAGAAGGACCCTGAAGTTGTGAGTCAAGCGCTCAAAGCTGAAAAGCACCACAGCACAACTGCCTGAACCAACCTCATTTTGCTTTTAGTAACATCCATGACCAGAGCCCTAAACAAACTGGTCAAGCACATGCTGTAGTTTCACAGAAGTACACCACGTAGGAAGGGACCGTGGAACAAGGTCTAATCCAGTATTACCCACTGGTGTACTAGTAGCATCCTACACGCACGCAATACCTTGTTCCCCATGCACCCCTTCATTGCAGCATGGACTGTCCACAGCTACAAATTGCTGGAAATCTCACCACAGTTTGAGTGCTTTGAAAGATACTTGTGTCTCTCCACAAGTCTCCAGTGATGGGCTCACGCTGATGGGACATCCACAAAGGCTAAATTCATATTCATCCAACCAGGATCCTTCCATTGCCACTGGAAGGAGAAAGGCTCCTCCAAAACTCTAATTTAACTTAGCTCCCTTGGAAGAACCTCCCCTCCCTGTCTGCTGATCAGAGAGGGTAGTCCAGAAAGACTAGCTCATGCTGCTGAGTTTTCACCCTTGTTAATGAAATATCTCCACATATTTTCAGCAACTTATCAAATGCCAAGTGCTTCAGTTTCAGCACACTCTGAGCTTTACAGCATATTCATTACCTAAACCCAAAGACTCCAACTGTAGACACTAAAGCTTGCTTACTGATTTTACTGCTTTACTCCACCCACATCGTAGGCACCTGGAAAGTAAGAGGGAATAAGATGGCAGCAGGAGTGAAACACTCTGTGCTAAGCGCCCCACTGGAGCTCTGCAAAGGTGAACACAAATTTTGCTTCTCCAGTGTGGCTTGCTAGCAGAAATTCAAGACAATCTTTCAGGAACCGCCTGATTTATTCCATGTACAAGCAGGGGACCTTCCTGGACCCTACAGACAACAGCTTCCCTGCCTGTGCAACTCTCAGTCTGCACTGAATGAAGTGTGTGAGCCCTGCAGAAAGGCATATGGTGTGATGGCAGAACTGGGATTCTGTGCAGACAAACAAGGCGATGATTTCCTATTGAAAGTAACATACAGAGTTCTAATGCCCTGACCCGCTTCCCAGCTTCTGATCACCAGGCTTTCCAGACTCTCTATTTTATGGCAGTTCCAAAACTTTCTAGAAATCTGTCGTTCTACCACAGGGAACAGCATCCAGCACCTGCAGAGATTAGGGCTGTGGCCCCCAGGTCTGCTCCCCAGCCAGGCAGGCAGCAGCAGCAGCATGCACGCTCCTCCTAGTGGCACACAACCACAGGACACGCAGGCTTTCGCCAGCTACTTTCTCAGGATTTGTTGGACAGCAGCGAAGTGCTGACGTATGGGCCTGGGTTCAGTTCCAAGATCCAGTTCTGTCTATAGACCCTCTTGCCTGTTGTCCAAGGCTATACCTCCTTTTGTGCTTCTCCCTCCCACTGCTGGCTCTGCTTCCTTGTCCCAAATGAATACTGCTCAGTATTCCAGTCAGGCTGTGGGCTCCTCCATACTGCCCCAACACAAAGAGCAGAGAGACGGAGCACAGAAAGGAGCTTTCCCTTTCTCCAACACCACAGCCCTGGGAAAAGCACTCACAGGAAGGGTCTTGCTTGGTCAATCACTGCAGTAGTCCTGGACGGATCATGCCTGGCTGCTTTATAGGGACACAGCTATACTATGCATTAAATCCTTGGAAAAATTAGCTGCCAACTTCCCAAAAGTGTCTCAGGTATGTGTAGCTCTTTTCAGAGCTTTGTAAGTTGGCCACACACGGGTGGTTTTATGAGGCTAGCAAAAAGCACATCCAGCTAGACCGTCACAATTAAGTGCTTGATGGACTACTAGAAAAAAAGCTGAGGACACAATGTCTTTTTTCCTCCTTCAAGCTTGTTCTCTGAAATAGCTGGAAAAGAACCCAAAAGGATCCAGCTGGAGGCAGACACACAGCATGGAAAATTCCAGTCTGAACCACTGAAGTTTTAGTAACTGAAAAAGAGGGGCATATAATAGGGACAGTTAATCAGTTTTAATTATAGGTGGTGTTACCAGTTATGCCTATAATTGCATTACCCTGGTTACACACTCACAGTAACTCCAGTGAAAAGATGTCCTCACCACTCTGGGGGACACAGAGAAAGAACAGCATGGGGAGACAAAGGTGACAGCAGCATTTTAGAAAAAACTCTTCTGTTTGCTTTCAAGAATCCAGCCCCTGAGTAAATGTAAAACTCAGAATGGGATGGTAAAGCCAGAACTTCAACAGATAGGTACAACTGAGGGACTCTTACACAGAAACAATATACTGAAAGCTGGGATGTAGAGAACCCACTGGCAAAATCTCTAGGCAATAATTCTGTAGGAGACTGGACCTCTTGGATCCCCCTAAACTCGAGAGACTGCAGAAGGTGCTGGATTAAGAGAGGGAACAACCCCTTGGTACACTGAGGCTTTTCGACTTGCCTCTCCTCCCTCTAGAAAAGATCTCTATTGTTCTACCTGCCACCTGGACCTGTGGCAAGGATCTAATTCACCCAGTTCAGATGGCTCCAACCCAGACACCTGCACCCAAGTCAGCCAGCCTCAACACCCTTTGTAATTAGGGGCAGCGAAGCATTACTGGACCATGAGCCATCTAGTCTTCAGGAGACTTTTGCTTGAGACAGAGATGAACTACCTCTCAGAAGTGCCTATTTCTTCCCTCTGCCTGCAAAGGAAGAGGAAGGTGGCCAGGGTGGGTGAATAGCTACATTAACTGTGAGGAATCCTGCTCCTCCTTATTAACCCATTACTCCAACACTTCTCAGACTTTTAAAACTATTTCTTCCCCTGACAGTAACTCAGCTGCCTGCTTCTGACGCCGCAGAAGGGGATAGCTTACAGCAGCTTGCTGCAAGCTTCACAGTTGCATCTGAATGGCAGGAAAGCAACTCACAGGTCAGCATTATTCCATTGCTGTTGTTGGACAAAGCTTTGAGTGAACATGAAAATAAGCAGTCTGAAGATTTAAGAACATTATTGCCTGCACTTGGAAAGCTTTTAGCCCACCACACAACTAGAAGCTTCAATAGGGGAAATAAAGAAAAGCTTACATTTGGCAGAAACTGGTGGTTTATGTTCTCACACTCATTACACAGAAATCCCTCCTTCCCTGTGCTTTGCATTTAGGAGGGATAACGGGTCAAGGAGCAGAAAAGACAATAGAAGGGAACTGAGAGAATGGGTCCAGTCATCATTAAATTGAACAGAAATATTTCCACAAAACCCAGTAAAAAGCAATTGCAGCAATATCATCAGAATAATTTCTCTGCATATGAACAAGTTCTTCCGACCAGGATAAAGTTCTCGGTTAACTCTCTCCTCTCACAACACAGGAATTGGTTATTTCCAGAGGACCCACCCAGTTCCTTCCGAGGTTACACAGCCTTAGTGCTACACTTAGAAAAAGCAGCAGAGATTCTTATTGCATCTAGTCATTCAAGACTGAAAGAGAGCAAGCCTGTGTGCACAGTGCACATGTACGTGTTAAAGAAGCTTCCTTCAAAGTTCACAGTTGTGTTATGGTGATCAACTCATCAAATTTCTAAGTTCAGAATATAAATCAGTGAACAAAAAAAAAAACCCAAACCACATTAACAAGCTTGCTGCATTGATACTATTCCAACACAGATGTCTCACATACCACTAACCAGGGTATACTGTCTGCCAGAAACCATCTTATTCAGGAAAAGGCCATCCTTGCTTCCACCCCAGATAACAGACACCTCAGCTATAAATCCTGCTAAGATGATCCTTAGCGAAGTCTGGCATAAATCTCTGCAGATGGAGAAGCTGGGGGTTACTTCCAGCACAACTATATGTTCCAAATTTCTGCTGCAATGGCATTCTGACAATATCTTTTAGGCACGCATTGTTATAAAGGAGATCCTATAGCTGTAGTTCCTAAAAGTGCTTGCTAAGTGAACTCTTTTTCTCCTGGTTACATGATATTCCATGTGCTACAGACCATGATCCAATCTCTCCATCCTTCTCTTCTGGAGCGCACATGAGCTTTCCTTGAGTACCATAAAATTTCTGCTGGTGTTCCTGTATACTCCATATAATTTTTAAACGTTAGCAGTCCCAGCCATTGGAGACAGGGGAGGTTGGTGGCTGGCTGGCAGAACACATGGACACTCAAAGTACTGACCTGGCCCTCTGACATTGACATCCAGCACATCCACTTCTTGATCTGCTTGAGGTGGTGTAAGGGCTATTGACGTGCTCACACAGACGTCTGCTGCCTCCAAGTGCTGCTGTGTCCACTGGCGCTGATCTATCTGCTCATCACCTTCCGGGAGCAAGGCTTGATCCTCAGCCTGAGCAGTTGGAAAAGAAGCAGTTGCTTCAAAATGCCTATCAAGCAGCCATAGACACTGGAAGTTCTTGGGGTTTTCTTTGTTTTGTTGGGTCTTTTTGGTTTTGTTTTTGCTGTTTTTGTTTTGTTTTAAGCCAATGACAGTCTCCATTTACCTCTGCTTGGCATTCTCAACTTCCACACTTCCACCATATGTTATCAGGCCTGAACTGCAAGACATTACACTACCGTTAACCTTCTCTTCCTTTTGATGCAGCAGGGCCTGGGTAGGGAGGGGACACTGGAACAGAAGTTACCTGGTTTCTCTACTGGCCTGAGGTGGCAGTGTTAACCTGAGAATTTGCTCCTCAGATATCATTAGTTACGCATTACAAACCCATAAGCAAAGGGAGGTTTAGAGCAAGGGATATACTCTGGAAATTAATGCAGGTGTTTTTCTCACTAGCAGTTTCAGTGGTAAGCATGCGATATTCAAGTCTTGGAGCTCCTTACCTTTGCTCTCTTTGGCTGAGGTCCACCATCACCTGCCCAGTGTTCAGTTGGTCCAGAATCTGCCAGGTTACCCTCTGGTATCTGGACTGACAGATTTCTAACAAACAAGCAGAACACATCACTTTGCAGGCTGACCATGTGCTACTACTGTTTCTTATACTAGCCTAAGGAGACCAAAGATGGGATGCTTGCAAGTGTGGTACCTTGCAAACAAAGGGACCAAGAAATTAGAAAACTCAGCCAGCCAACAGTAGTGTTAAATGCATTTAGAACTCCAAACTTGGTTAATTCAGTGGAAAGCCGAAACTGCATAAATGGGATTCTCCTTTTGAAACTTCCCATTATTTCTGAGTCATGTCTTTAATGCATTGAGCTAGATGTATTAAAAGTTTGCTGTCACCTATCAACCTAAAAATGTCACACCTAATCCAGGAGGAAATTATGCAAACAGTACCTAAACTCTGAACTACACAGTGTCAGAAAACCCAACATACCCAGGAGATTAGATTCCTTACTAGTATTTTATAGATTACAGTTAATTAAAGTTCTTCTGTCCAAAACAGATGCATTAAAATTTAGAGAAATAGTGTTAAGAAGTTTTAGCTTAAAAGGCAGCTTTCTCTGTGGAGCTAAGTGCCTTTCATGAAAGATTTGTACACCACATTCTCAAAATCTCTAACACACTAATAAACATACTGTCAGTGGCCTAAATGCAAACTTACTTGAGTCCAACAGCATCTTCCCCAACTGGCTCTCTGCGCTTATGATTACTAGGATCCCTGCGCAGAATAAAGCCCTCTGGGAGCCACAGTGAACCATGTTTGCGCTTACGCTTTGCCATCATCACACCCAAGAGAAGGATTAAAAGGATGATCAAAGCTGCCACAGCAAGTAGGTAAAGCAACTGGGTCTTCGGTGGTAACAAGGGTTCACCTAAAAATTCCAGTTAAAATACAATGAGATTAACAAAGTGGAAGCAATGATCTTCAATCTACGTACTTTCTTTTCTCACTCAGTCTTCCCCACAGAGTGTACTGTCTCTATACTGTGATGCATTTAGAGCAAAGGCCTGAGGAAGTTTAGGCTCTGCTGCAACTCTTGTAAGAATACATCCTGTCTTCCCTTGATCTTGTTTCTCAAAGTATTTTTTAGAGTATACGACTGCTGAACTGAAGGTCTTGCTCCTTCCTCAAGAGTCGTGCTGGCTGAAGACAGCCACCCTGAATCAGTGTAGAGAGAGCTGATCTACATGAAGATATGAGAATGACCCAACTAGAAATAGTGATATTGCCAATCTAGTACGAGGCTGCAGCTGAGCCTCAGACTGAGGGATAGGAGAGCACAAATCAAAGGGATTACGTATTGCCAGAGGAGAAAACGTCTTGTAGACTGAGGAATGCCCTCCTGCCCTGCCTTCTAATGGCACCTTTTTCATTGAATTCATGACTTAGAGCACATGAATGGTTTTTAGTGCAGACAAGATCACTGCAGTGTGTGACACTGCTGCAGAACATGAGAGATTACTGTTTCCACAGGTATTAAAATGACTAGGCTCCAAACTTAAATGCCCAGCCTTACTAACCAGACATCCTCTCAGAGCAGAATAAGCATATTGCACATGCATACTTCTATAACTGGGGACAAACAAATTAGCTCCCAGAAACCATACTGAACAGTGAGACATATGATCAATAACCTGAGCATGAATTCTGCAAGCCCAAGTTTACTGACTGCCTTGCTCCACAAGCCATTTTCCCTCTGCAATTACTTACTTTGGACAGACACAAAAGGATAGGGCAACATGCCCTTGATGGCCTGAGCAGCTAAGAGAGCTGCAGCAGCTTCTGTGTTGTGAAAGCATTGCTCCGAATCCTCTGCACACTGACGGTTGTCAATCTCCAGGAACACCCTGGTGCTGCAGAAACACAGTAAAACAGCACAGAAGTCAGCAACAGAAACTTTTGCCAAGGCACTAGGTTAAACTGCAGCCTTTTAAGTTAATCTTTCCACCCCAGCACTGAATTTGGCAGTTGCAATAGCTTTACATTTCTGCATAAAAACATAGATGGGCTACAGCCCCAGAAGGTCCAGAACACCCCAGAGAGCTACCAGCATAACAAGACCAGAGGAACACAAAGGCATCCACTCACCCGATGACCTCTTGCTCTAGTTCTCTGTGTTTGCGAATGACCACAAGTGATCGCCGACTCCGTGCTGCTGATTTCTCCCCATAGTATGGGAATACCATAAGGTTTCCCTGGGAGTCTAGCTTTATTCTGAGATTGGTGTGCAGGAGAGTTCCCAAAGTGCGCAAGAAGGTGCGAACATCGCCCAGCAGCTCATCAGGGGGCATCAAGACCACAATGATTAGGGTCCCTTCTGCCAGCTTCTCAGCTTTGTCACCAGCACAGTCCAGACCGTCCCAGCCACACTCCTCACTATTACAGCCCTGGTCACAGCGGCCATCTGCGTAGTGATCTGCACAATACTTGTCATACCTAGAACAGTGAAAGGGTTACAGGCAGCATATAGGACATACACATTCTGTACAGTATACCTTCAGTCTAGGGGCCAAGGCCTCACACTCCTCCTAATGATTTCAGGTAAAATAACACTCATATTCAGGATATAAGGAGAAGAAATATAACCCCAGGATAAGCTTGCAACCCGGCAGGGTGGAAGTAGGAAGCACAGAACACCCCAAGAACATGTGGTTCAATTCTGGTACCAGTGGAAGAGAACTGCTTATTCTGTTTACTAAGATAAAGCTGTAACACCTCCTGCCTCACCAAGGGAGAATTATCACAGCAAAGCTGTAGCATTTATTACAAATAACTGAAGAGAACGAAGTACCACGACAAACAAGCTGGAAAACGCATTCAGAGGTAGCAAATACAGCTGGGATAAAAATACAGGTATTGCTGGTACGGAGTGAAATTCAGGAGGCAGTACTATTAAAATCTAGTACAGGGTGAAATGCCTCCTGTTTACACTTCCACAGAAGTTAGGGCACATCCATCAAGCAGGTTAACACATTACTGTTGCTCAGGCTATCAGCTTAGTTCATAGCATACAAATTCCAGAACTTCCTTCCAAAAATAGATGAAAAGTACACAGAGCAGCAGAAACTCCTTGATGCCAAACTTTCAGCAAAAGCAAGGACCAGCAACAACGGAAGAGATGGGAGCAGCAGGCATGAAGCGTACCAACTACTGAAAGCGCTAGCAGGAGATATATTAGTGACACAGAGAAACTGTTCTCAGGGTCAAGCCTTACTTGCATGTTTTGCTATTTTGCTGACATTCAAAGTTGTCAAACAGGCACTCGGGTGTGTTGCAGAACTCATCACACTGTCCATTGAAAAACATCCAGCAGCGCAATGAAGAGGAGCAGTTGGCCCAAGGATCTTCCATTGTCAGGGAGCAGTCGCCTCCATCCCACTGGCAGGCATGAGTGTTACAGTCTTCATCACAATAGCCATCTTTTGCTTTTTCCGCACACTGGGAATCCAAACATCCTTGGGGCTCTGGGCTGAAAGTTATGGGCTGTTCGCACTGGCTGCCTTGGGTGTGAGCAGGACACTGACAGTAATAGTAAGGAGGCTGAGAATGAGGGTGGCAGCTTCCACCATTCTGGCAGGGGGCACTGGCACAACCCGTGTTTGTCTGGCATTCCTCTCCCACAGACAGCTTGGGGCAATAGCACCGTGGACCAGAAGATGTCTGGATGCACTGCTCCCCCTTCTTGCATTTCACTTGTCCACAAGTACTGTGGCTGCTGAACTCACATTTTGCTCCGGAATAACCCTATGCAGGGGAAAAAAAGAAAAACAACCAGGCTCACAAGCATTCTTCAATGCTCTGAGGGCTGGAGGCAAGGTGTCACGTGCAAACCCTTTCTCCCCCGTTAATTCCTCTAGTCTCACTGCAGGAGTTGTGATTTTCTGGATCTTGCCTCAGGGATAAACTAGGAACAAACTAGGAACTTAGAAGGCTCCATTACATTTTGAAATGGACTTAGAAGAGCCACAGACAAGGGGAATCTTGCAGTAAGCACAGAGAACACAGGGTAGCAAAAAAATTGTCAAGATTTAATGCTAGGTTTAAGACAGAAAAGCCAGCTATCCTGCCTTAACAGCAGAATTGTTTGGGGTAACAACAGGCAGCATCACTCTCTTAGGGCACCTGGAAGCCCTGGGATTGATTCCCAGCTAAGGAGGTAAACTAAAGGATGTGGGTAAAGAGTGTCCAAGGACACAGCTTTGCAAGTAGTACAGAAAAGATAACCTTCACCTACAGTGGACCAGTGAAACTAATGAGACTGTAGCTAGAGAACTCTACAGCTGAGACAGGCAATCCAGTTTCAGGATACGGTGCTTACCGGAGGACACTGGCAGATGAACCCATCCGGCATATTGCTGGCAACAGCACAGGTACCTCCATTCTGACAAGGCTTCCGGGGACACACATCTATTACACTCTCACAGTGACGACCTGAAACGTACACACACGGGGAGAAAAGAGCAGAGAAATGCATGTGTGTGCATATCAAAAAGCCATCACAAAGCAAAACACTCCAATGAATAGCCAATAAGGCAAACACTCCAGTGAGACCCTCCCCTCAGAACAGGTAGGGAACATCTCTTCAGTTAACACATGGTCTCTAAGTAGCTGCCAAAGTAGTGGTAGAGGAAGGCACAACCCCAGGATCCACAAGGGGTATTTGGAGACAGTCCACTTTGTCTGCCTCCTTCAGACTGTGTGCAACCCAGCACAAAGACAGAATTTGCTGCTGTCACCCCCAAGTCTGTCAGGCACAGAGGCTGAAAGTGCTGTACCACATCAATTTGAGGGTTCCTAAGACTTCTTTACTTTCTGGGAGATGCTCAATGAGTGCAAAGGCAAATCACTCCCTAACCACGAATGAACAACCCTCAGGACCAGATGCAACATGAGAGAACAGGATAAGTAAGAGAGCCTCCTCAGACTGATCAGCTAGACAGAGAGGTCTTACTGCACTGACTAGCGTTTGCAGCAGCTCCCAGAGTCAAACTCTGACACCAGTCTTTAAAAAGATGAGGATGACCTAAGTATGACTTGGACCCCCTAGGAAAAAGTTAATAGAAGTCTCCACACATGTGCAGCCAAGACTGTTCGCAGACAGGAGCAGACAGGGCAGGATGGCCCATGGAGTCCTGGCATCCTATCAGTCACAAACCACAGCAAAGCCACCCCCATCCCCTCCCAGGCAGAAGGGTCAATGTGGAATGCACAGAAGACGAACAGCTAAAGGAAGAAGCATGCTCCCCCTCTGTGCCTAACGTTTCCAGACAGATTTCATGTCTGAGACACAGCAGCTCTCCCTGCTCCTCCTAGGGTGCAGCAGGTCTGCCTTCCCCACGCTGCAAGTTCTAGCAACCCTTCCATGAAAGCCAGAAGCAACACAAGGCATAGTTCATAAAAGCAAGCTTAACAGATGAGCTTAAATATAAACCTATCTGATGACCTGCACCAGTGTCCCACTAGCTAGCCTGGCTCCACTTCCCTCATATGTTGCTCTTTTAGGAACTTCTTTTGTCAATCTGGGTAATGCATTCAAAAACTACTACATGAATTCTTCAGATGTATGTCTTTGTGATCTCTTTGCATGTGACAATCACAAATTTAGTGGAAAATCACAGCGTCTTTAAATTTTAAGGAAAAAAAAAGAGTAAAAGCTATTGGTAAAGCATGCAGAGAAGGTCACTGGTAAGCAGGGAAAGTGAAAGGGTTTAACGGGGGAAAACTGAATACATAAGAAGTTAAACTGACATGGAAACTGGAAAGCTGAAAGTTAAGACACATCTGGAGACTATTAGCCCAAACTTATGCCCAGTGGGAGGCAGAAAGCAGAATAGCAGCAACACTAACAAAGATGAGATCTAGAGAGAGTGAGACATAAGCTTGTGCAGTGTGAAATTCTTGCAAAGTTGTGATTCAAAGTTGGATGGAGGAAGGATCACATCACTAAGCTAGGAATGTACAGTCTGTCTATGCATAGAGTATTCTACCCTGACCACATCACCAATGTAAGGAAGAAAGGGAGCGAGGAGTAGAAAAGGAGGCCAAAAGCAAATTAGGGATACCATGACGCTGATTTGTAGAGAAAATGCATATGCTGCTTTGCGAAAGGAAAAGCCATGGAGAAGCTGACACGTGAACAGTTACACTTCCAGTATTAGACATGTGGAATTATGAAGGAGAGAAAAGGACCACAGAAAAAAATATCCTGGCAGCCAAGTGTCTCAGGAGATTCCTTTGTCCGAGACAGCTCTGGAAGCCAAATTTCTTAGAAGGTTTAAAAGAAAGATTGGTTTAAAAACT